ATTCATCACTTCGTTCAGAATCTAAAATGTCATATTTCCCAACAGAAAATTATGAAATGCTAAGCACTAATTGACAAAATATAAAAATTATAAATATTTCATAGAGATTCACATTACGAGTAAAATCAGACACCTATTTACAAATAATATACAAACATTATAATATATTATGTTTTGGTTTTTCCTTGTTGTCGTTGTAATTGCCGTCTCTATACAGAGCTGTGATCCATCATGATGAACACCAAATAAAACTATATTAGAATAATTGAATTCAATACATAGTACATATTATACTACAAATAAATCAGTTATCAGAATAATATAGAAAAAACAATATTATTCTAAAAAAAATGCATAAAAATATATTTATTGATATTTAAAACAGAATTATTAATTTTGTATAATTTTTTTTACTTATTTCCCCATGCATGAAAATAAACCTATTTTTAATAATGGAATAGCGTCCCAGATAATTATGTCGGGACAACGAGACATACTTTTGAAATACGGTACTTTCTTTTATAATACGGGAAGTTTGGTCACCCTAGACCGAACACTCAGGGGTAACATAACCAAATAGTGCTTTTGTTGCTTCTAAAAATGTAATTTTCTTAAAAGGCTACATAATTATTTTTAAAAATATTGAATGTAAAATTAAATATAAATTTGAATGTTCAATGTTGATCAAATAAAAACAATAACCTTTAAATCACGGTGCTGTGCATATTTAGATAAAGATGGTCATAATCAAATTTTAATTATCATACAATAAAATGATACAAGTCATCGCTTTTACCTCTTGCACCATTTCTTTTTGCCTAAGTGGGAAATAACTAAATAACTTATTGTTTGGCTGAAAAAGTTAAAAATGTATGTTGTACCAGATATGAAATGTTGCATATGCCTATGATGAATTAGGTTATACTGTAATTATTATTGTTTATTAAACTTATAACTTTTAAGAATATTATTTAACCTTAATGTCTTATACTGTGCAGACAAAAATTGTTTAAAAATAGGTCGATTTATGAGTTGAATACCTTCAAAACAAACATTTTTTTCTATTTCTCAGATAATAATAAATTAGATTTTGTGTTTATTTATAATAAAAAGAGATGGGTAGTTTTAATTAAGTGTATAAATTTAACGGTATTTTTTTATAAATTAATTGTATTCTTAATTTTAGATTTAAAAAAACTTATCAAATATGAAAAACAAAAAACTCGAATTGAAGAAAAAGAAAATTTTAATACTGATCTAAAGAAAAGAAGGGATTTATCAGAAGAAAAACAAGATATTCCATCAAATAATTTTTGTAAAAATGCATGCTGTAATAAAAAGAATAATGATGTTTTTGAAAGGTTGTCACAGCCAAGTTCAAAAACAAAAATATGCTCTAAAGCTGTTTCAACAATAGCTGTTCAAACAGATTTACCAAGTATAAAAACTGGTAAGAATTAAAGTGTGACTATTTAGCATTATAATTATATTATGATCTATGTTATTATTAAGGCTCGCATTTAAATGCTGTTTCAAAAACTCATTTAGACCTAAATATCTAAAAAACAATTCTTTTTAAAAACCAGATCACCTTGTTTTAGTACAATATATGTACAATTATATATAATATTTTTGATTTGTAATATCTATAGAAATAAGTTAATAAATTACCCATAAAGGTTTAGCAATACACTTTAATGCCTATGAAAAATGAAAAAAAAATTCCATAAGCAAAATTTGTTAATAGCATTGCAAGGTGTGTACTTTGCACACATATTTATGTTGAAAAGCATTGTATCAAACATTACAGAAAAAATATACAAGTGTATCGAATTCTGAGTCCTAGTTATTACTATTATTATTATAAATTAATACTTAAATATGTACCTATGTAACTCATTACATCTAGTTAGAAAATTAAAACCTAACAATCAAATAAAATTTTACTGTTATACCTATCATCTAATCTTTAGTATATGATTTTAGGAGAGAATAAATATTCACAGATTTTAAAAAGGAAACAAATGGATCCAGTATCATTACATCAGTATTACCAAACAGAATGGAAAAATCATAAAGTACCCGGTGAAAAAAGTCATAATGACCTACGATGGCAAATAAGACAGACTATGATACGTAAATAGGTTAATTTCATAGTTTTTTTTCACTTAATATTAAGACATTTTTAAATATTTGACCTAAGTTTTTATTAAGATAAACATGTTTATTAATTCACAACATTCTAAAAATATATATCTACTTACAATATGTTCAAATACTAAATTAAATATTAAATGACACCATTGATGATATGAATAATATATGATCAATGCCCAATGGTGCACTTTTATTCAGATGTTATAAACTGTAATTATAAATATTAAATAATACACTGAATTCTGAGATATTTTGTAAAATTGATAACCGTCTACAATGTTTTTATTTAAAGTTTATAATAATTTTCTAGTGTTTAACATATTTCACATTATTACTTATAATTGTTTTGGTAATATAAATGGTATCCAGTATGCCGCCAATGGCCACCTTCTCCTATCCTATTTATTTTTTTTCATTTTTGCCTCATTGGTTTACTGTAGAACTAAAAATGCAGTTTGTAAATAAACCTTCTTTTGTAATATTAATGAATAAAAGTAACTGTTAAACCTTGTGTTTTATTTTTAAGATTGTCCATGTATAAATCAAAAATAAGTTGAACTCTTTGGAATATGTATGGTATAAATTATTTAAAAAATTATATTATCAAGTCTAGAAAATTAATCTATACGATCTCCCAAATTGGCAACTAGTTAAAGCATAGGCGTGTCCACGGGTCATGCCTGTCATGCACAGGCATGACCTGCAAATTTGATCAAACTTACATAGTACATTTTGATGCATAATATGAACCTTTTTTTCTCAATTTCTATTTTCATATTAAATTTTTTGTTTTTTATCATGTGTATAATTCAAGGTCATATCGCCAAACCCTAACAGAAATTTTAATTTTTTTTTTTGAAGGGGGAGGATTGGCAGTTTCCCCATCCCCTAGATATGCCACTGTTGTGCATGACCTGCGATTGAGGTCTGGACCCGCCTATGAGTTAAAGTAATTTTTCAATAACTACATAATCTAATCATTTTTCTACTCAGTAGTCTACAAATATGAGATTGGATTTTGCCGCCATAATCCAGCATGGCGATGGCGGTAACCGAGAACGTGTTATCACTGGTTGATAACTAGTGTCACCACCACTCGATATGTGAAGATGCGGTTGTCTGAAAATGATTTTCAGGCAATATTTAATGTGGAACTCGAAATATTATGTAAGTTTCTCGAGCAAGGCTCAAAAAGTGCTTAGAATCGAAAATAATACTCGGAAAATTAAATGTTAAATAATATCTATCAGCCATTATAGTGTCGTATTGTATGTCTCGCGTTGGTCACACTGTTCGTGGGTTTACCGATTGTGGTAGTCGCAAAAAATTAAACACAGTTGTTGATAGTCGGTTTTCGAGTGTTTATTTTAAAGAATATCACCACAAAAATTGAAATAGGTAGGTCAGCAATATACAAGTTTTGAAGCATATCGCGCATCCACCCTCCGCCCATGCATTGTATTGTGACGAAAGCATTTTACCGTTTCTCATTGGTCCGCGGCGCCGTTGCCGACTCCTCCTCTCACCGAGGCTCGGCCAATCGGCCAAATATGACGTCACAGACATGCGTATCACGAAATATCCGGCATACCTATTTAGTCTAAATTTCAATACACATTTTATCCAGAGCAGCAACACTATTTGTCGAAACGTTGAGTCGTCGAGTAATGAGTACGATGTGCGATACTGCCGATGTATGGAACTGTAGACTATCGCCCGGCGTCTTGTTCGCGGTTGTTGACTATTTGACTGTTCAACCGTAGTTGTAGATTTATTGGGTTGCGATATTCTCGTATTTCTGGTATTTGATTTTATAATATTATTTTCTTATGTTTTGAAGTTTCAACGTCCTCATCGATAAACAATCGACTTGTCGATTGTGTACACTGTGTTCCTCGGTGACCGGATTTCCCGCCTATCGGTATGTGATTGTTTACATTTTCCCTATTACCTACACAGTACACGCAATTCTCGAAAATCTGACTGGTCAATAGTGTCTCATGATGACCATTTTTTTAGCTGATGTAAAGTTTTCACAAATTTCTGTCGTGTCTAATGCCAACGATGATATTAATAACTAAATAATTTTGTATTTCATCGTGTTTTTTCTCGATTTTTAGTTACGTTTCTGAGACATCGCGCAGAGTAGATCATAATTTGTATTTCTTCAATTTTTTTTACAGCTGTATGCACGATACCTATAATTGTTCAACACTCTTAGTTATAATAAAATGTTATTGAATTTCAGTGCATTAGTTTATTGGAAGTCTGAGTTCGATTGGTTTCGAAGCTATCATGATGGACACTGTTTATCCGAATGACGAAGAAATCAAATTTCGCAAAAACAATTATACAGGTAAATACTGTTATGCACTTAATTCTCATAGAATACCTACCTTTATCCATATTATTTATTTAACAACTAATAAGATAATATTGCCATTAGTAGTAATACTTTCTATTAACAGGTGATTTACTTGTTTTCTCAAAAATAAAATGTATTTTTATAGGACATTAATAGATATTTCCTATTTGTTAGTTGAATGAAAAATATGTATTATACTGGGTTTTTCTCTTATTATTGAACACTCATTATTTCAGAAAGTTTAAATGCTTTTTTTTTTAAAAAACTGGTCTAGTGGGTATCACTCTGCTGTATAGTGGAGACTGAGAGTAAGTCCCTATAATTCATTGTTCAATTTGAATGAAATGACAAGTATCATTGTGTATGATAAATGATTTTGAACGGAGATGATTTGGCAGTCTTTAGGATATATATTACCTATATTTAAATTATAATATATTTTTCTACGCTCATTAAATGTTTTCTATGATTGCTCTGGGTTTTTTTTAAAATTTTTATTTGAAGATTTTTAGATATTTCGTAAACATTATGAACTTCAAATAGTTATAAACAAAATTTGTGACTAACGGTTTTTTTTATATTCAATATTTATATAAGTCGATTGTTTATTGACAATAATTGAAGTGAGAAAAAAAAACTTAAACAATTTAAAATTTTTCTGCACTATAATTCTATAGTTCTGAAATGTCAAATACCTATTTTTAAAATTATATCACATATGGAAAATGGTCATAAAAACTTAAGGTTAAACTATTTGGGAATTTTTCGGTAGATTTTTGAATACACATTCAAGGTTTTTTAGTTCTTTAATGAATTTTATGAACTAAAAGCCATGCTCAATGTCTTAATTTTAAAATCTTTTAATATAGGTTGATACTTGGGTAGTTACTACTTGTAAAAATATGTTTCTAAATTTAATTTTATATTTTCTAGATGTTAAAGACATTTTGAACAGTGAAGTTAGATGTACAATATGTAACAATGATCTTTTACCTGAAATTATTTCAAAGAAAATGATAATGGTTCATCAAAGTTATCTATTTCTATGTTGTTACGTAAGTTTTTTTTATCCTATTTATTAAAGTACGTATGGATAGTAGAAAGCTAAGTGATATAAACCGCAACAATTAATTTTACAGGAGCGACCAAAATCATTATAGTTTTGTTAAGAATGACATAGGTAGGGAATATAAAATGGTTTGTTCAGAATATGAACAAAAAATAATTTGAACTTTAGRTTATGTTGWATTATTATCAGCTAACATCTCGTTGTTGATATAAGTATATTACATGGCAGTGGCGACTATCAGCTTTCTTCCATCTCCCTTTCGCAGTGGCCACGTTTCTACTTCATAAGTGGTAACTGGACACAGTTATATAATATATAGCTGTATGTTAAGATTTCTTGATAAAGATCTAGATCCTAGTAGTGTTTGCGATCTATAGAAAGCTGTATTGTGATCTATAATATAATCTAACGTTTAATGTTTTAATGACTTTTTCTAACTATATATTAAATAACATTGGTGACATTGGAGCCAGACCCGTCTCGTCCCTGAATTTACTGATATTGGCTCTATTTGACTGTTTCCACTTACATTAACAAATTTCTCCATAATACCAATCTCAACTAACTCAAATTATTATATTTGTTTTATACCTAAATTGATTTTTTTTACAGTTTAAAATACTACTTCTACACAATTTTATTTAGTTTTATGAGCCATGTTCTTATGTGTATTTAAATATTATTAGCATTTATATTAATAAACATTTTTATTTTTTACAATTAATAACACTGCTGCATTACTTATATTTGATCTATGTTTTTTTTTTTTTTTTTATTTAGAACTGTTTCTATAAACTATGTGAAGGAAATAAGTATAGTTGTATCTTGTGTAAATCCAACAAAGATCTATCTAATTGTATTAAATGCAATCTTAATGTTTGTAAAGTAAGTAAACATTTTATTTAAACCTATTATACGGGACAATTTACTAGGCATGACCACCCCCTATTGTTTTCTTTAGTAACAAATTATTTGAAATTTTGATTTTTAGAATTTTTAAATAATTAAGTTCTTTTTTATCTGTATACTTTTTTTTTTTTTTTTGCTGTAAATTACGAAGTAAATCATTTTTTTTTTTTGAAAAGTTGATGTTCTACCTAATTCGGAATTTGAACAAGTAGTTAAAGTATGTGAAAAGTAAAGTGGTTATAAAGATTATTTTATCATATTAGAATTAGTATTTACATTTACACTTAACACAAAATATAAAAGTTGATGGATTATATTAATTACTAAAATTTTAAAAGTACTCTATCCCCAATATCCAAATCCATTAGAACTTTTTTTTTAGTAAACTAAGTTGATTAACACAAGCTGCACGTTCTAATTTCTTTTATTGGTATGTCAACATTTTCAGAAAAATTATTGTTAAATAAAAGAGGAGTGTACTCATTTGAAAAAACGGTACACTTTTTGAGTAGTACCAAAATCTGAAGAATTAGAAAATATAGTCATAAATTTATTATAATTATACACTTGAAAATTCCAAAGATCATATTTGAATTATTGAGAACAGAGGAAGTTGGCATGTTTGTTGATTTCTCTGTACATACTTGATTTAATATGAAAATTATATAATTTTTTTTCTTTTTACTGAACTAATAAATTTTTTTAGCGTTGCATTGAAAATCAAAATATTGATAAAGTATCTATTGGTGTTTTAAATGAATGCTTCAATTGTGCACCAAAAATGTTGTGGGGAAAAAGAGCTCAAGCTGCTAATGTTTTAAAATTATTTTATTCTCAACTGTAAGTAAATGTTTGGTATTGTGTTAGTTATTCTAATTATTTATTTCTATAAACTAGAATATTTGTTTGAAAACAAAAAAAAGTTATCCTATTATTTTGTTGTGTTGAATGAGTGTTCACAAAATCTTTTTACTTCATTATTATACTCTTAAAATTTTATGCAGTACTTAATTAGCATTTATTTTTAAAAACTACCATATGCTTAAATTTTCTTTTGAAGATCAGTTTTAAGTTTACATTTATAGGTCCTTTAGTATCATAATATTAATAATGGTTAATTTAATTTTTTGTGCAAAATAAATTTGTAGATCTGATGTTATATTGCTTGTTATTATAGTAATTTGATTCATTTGACCTATTATCAAGTTTAAAGTTTTTAATATTAATTGTGTTTGTACATTTGGCTTTTTACAATATTAAATTTTTTTTGTAAGTGATGAGTATCTGAAATATAACAATTTAAAAAGTTTAGATATTCATAGAAAAATTGAAATATTGTAAAAAACCACAGATAATGTTCTTATCCTTATGTTATATAATTGTTAATAGGTTTAAATTAATTTTAATAATAATGCTAATAACACCATAGACCTTATACTAATAGACGGAACATACTACACACTAGTTCCGGTGATCGAGGGTAGTAAACAAGAATTATGGGATTGTACAATAATCTTAATTTTAATTGTGCATTTGGGCCTGCGACTTATCAACACACCGCATACCATCACAATAGTATTAGTATATTATTGTTCTCCTTCTGATTTCTAATGTTCAGCAATTTTTCTTGAATTTTGTCTATTTTATAAATTTTATTTACATTAGTCTTTTCGTTAGGTTTGCCTGTCGAATGAACATCCTATTTATGTTTTTTGTTGTTTCTACTAAATTCTTCAAGCATTGAATATTGCCATTTGTCAGAATAGAAAATTAATGTAGTAATTAAGTACATATTATATCAGCGTTTCCCGACCTTTTTCCCTCGCGGTACACTTGTCACTGACTTATATATGTACACATATTTTTTTTATATTAAACCTTCATATTAATTATTAATACCAAAGTAGTTGTATATCAGTATAATATTACTAACAAACAGTTTAAAATGGTAGGATAGAAAAAAAAAATTATTATAATTATACTAAATATTTAATTTATTGAAATGTAAAAACAAGATACATTACAATTTTTACAAAAAACCTAATCTTAGTGAGAAATTTGGGACTGTTTCTCTTCATTATTAGCTTCCTTCGTGGTTGAATGGTTGATAAGCACACCCTCATGTCGTCTTCCAAGTTCTTCAGTTGTGATATTTTAAATTATTTAATAAGAAATGGTGAACAATATCCCTGATAAGAGAATCGTTAAAACTATTTTAACCAATTACCAAAATTTTACGTAAACGTTTAATAACAGTTGTGAAATTTTGTGGCACACTTGTTGGGAAACCCTGTATTATATTTATACCTAGTATTACTATAAATCATAATGCATTTATACCAAGATATAACTACATACTAACTTACTGTAGTAACTAAATTCATTATACCTTTTATTGTTTTATTTGTTTACCCGCAGCAACATAGGCTATTGTGGGTGGGGGTGGTACTGAAGGTTTTTTTTTTAATGGTGGTAAAGGGAACAAGTGAGTGTTTTGGCAGAATTTTTAAATGGGCACCTGTAGGTTTCTGCCATGCAAAGAAGGAAGGCAGCTGCCTCTATTTCCAAATGGTATGAACGGGCAGTAAAGCGATGCCGTCCATCACATGGGTTTGAACCGGTAACAGTGGGCGTTCTTAACCGATACCTTAATCTGGCCGCTACACCCCCCCCCCTAAATTCATTATATTATGATTTATGTTCTAATATAATATAGTAGTATACATTAAACTTATTTTATAATACTATTTGCTAGTATCTAATTACAATTCAACTATAGTCTAGTTAATTATGATTTATTATAGATCTTTATGGCTTCGGCTTATGCATTATAGAATAATAAAGTTATATAATTCTAATATGGTTAGGTAAATAAATATGTTTTTGGTTGCAAGGAATGGGATCACTGCTGGCACGCTAGGAAAGCCACACTACTTACATTCTGTCTGGATGTTCTGTCTATTAGTAAAAGATCTATGAAAGATAGGTTCTGCTGGAAGCAAATATACTATATTACTTGTGGGCTAGAAATAAACGAAAAATAGTGCGCTGACATCCTTTTTTTAGGTCGTTTTTAATGGACCCTGTTTAGACATTTCATTTTTGTTTTCAAATTAATATTATATTGTTTGGATAAATCTATTCCTTTACTTATTACTCATGTATAACCAGAGTTCACTAATACATTGTCTAAACATAGTTTCATTCTCTAATCATATCTACTATAAAATTTACTGAATTGGGCTGAGCTTAAGTTTTGAACATAACATAAAAGTCAATATATCTGAGAATAGGGCTCTATAGTAAAGTATTTTATTTATTTAGAAAATTATGGTAATATATTAAGTACAAAGAGAAGATAGTGTTTAATATTAATTTTTATAAATTTCTGAAATAATAATGAAATGTGATTGATTTTGAATTTTTGATTTTTTAAATTTTATGTATTAAGTGATAATTTTATATCATATTAATCAAATAACTGGGGGAAAGACTGTCCGAGTGAAGAATGGCGTTAGTTGTAACTCTTACTGTTTTGGGTTTGAATCTTGGCCATGGGCAGCATCTCTCTGGACAGGCAACTGTTTAGGGGGCAAAACCGCCATTCCCCAAAAGGTTTTGGCAGAAACCTATAGGTGCCCAATTAGAAGTTCTGCCAAATAGGTGCCTTAAATGTGTTCAGGCGTATTCCTGGACATGACGCCATGCACAAAAAAAAGTATCTAACCGCTTATAGTTGTGTGTATTTATTATTTTCAGATGTCTGCCTAATGGATTATTAGTAAATGAAATAGACCATGAACAAGCTGTTCGAAAATACCTGGTTAAAGAAGCTAAAATTGGATACAATTCTGTAATAGATAATATTAAAAACAACTTATGCATTAATTATATTTTAAAAACGTACAAGTCATCTATAGTCGATGAAATATCAGTATTTTCTTCTGATGATAACCTTCCAATTGATGAAAATCTAAATGGATTCATAAACATTTGTGAGCATGTTCTAGAGACAACATGTTCCACGTTAACTAATCTTAAGAGAATATTTAATATTAATTCACATTTGAGTCCTGGTGTTTCTGCTATTATGAAATCTTTATTGAAGCTGGTTGATGAGGATGAAAATATGTTAGTAGATAATACAATATTAAATGGAAATATTGGTAAAAAAACAAAAAACAATACAGTCAATCAACCATCAAAAGAACCAAAAAAAAGGGCTACAAGAAAATTAAGATCAGAACAGAAACCAAAAAAAGATACTGATAAGTTGAACTCGACAATATCTTTATCTTCTTCAAGTTTAAAACCCAAATTATCACCTCCAAGTGCGCCAATAATATCTAATGCCATAAATAATAATGTATCTGTTGTTTTAGAACGTTTAGACGATTCTATTATATCAAGTATAATTAGTAATAAAACTACTAATAAAATTGAACACCAATTGGAAAAAGATGAAATAACTCATCCTTTGAATTTATTTGATAGTAGTGATAGTAATGATGATGAAAGCAACAATACAAGAATATTGAGAAATCGCACCCTTATAAAATCTAACAAGGTAAAATATTAATTAAGCCTTGAATTATGTAATTATACTCTATTGTACAAGTATTATATTCATGTTTATAATTTTACTATGCTACTATGTTATTTTAAAGTATTTGTTATACAGGTTGTCCTACGAGGATTTAACCATTGCAATATTTCCCAAAATAATGAAGATATCAAAATTCTAGTTTTGTACCTTAGTCTTAACTCAGAGATAATAACTACAATTATTTCAATTAATTTTAATGTTTTGGTAAAGAAGTTAAAAAATATATTTTTTATTTAATTATTTCCAAAAACGACTATAGCCATTTTGTAGTGTATTTTTTCTTAAAATATTGTCGTTTAAAAAATTTATTTTCATTATCTTGACTTTTAAATTTTTTTTTAATTTTAAGGAAAATTACGAATTATTTGACGTACCGCACGCATTCTCACGAGGCTGGCTGGACACTTTCAGTGTGACTAGTAATGATCATATTTTAGTTATTCAAAACATTCAAAACTAGAAAAAAATTAAAATTCAGAAAATTAATGAAAACAAAATTTTGAAACTTCATTATTTTCAGAGAAATAAACTATAAAATGGCTATGTCAATTTGTATGGTAATAATTAAATAAAACATATACTTTTTAACATTTTTACCAAAACATTTAAATAATTTAAAATAAATGAAATTATTGTAGTTCTTATCCCTGTAAGTATTATTACTAAACCAAAATTTAGATATCTCCATTATTTCGTGAGATATTGCAATGGGTATCTCCTTGCGGGTATTGGTGTAATCAAAAAGTATTTGGATAACCATAATTGTTTTCTTTAAAGTTACAGTTACAAGTAACTGTTAACCAAGTTTTTTTGTCTTTTTAAAGTTTTTCTGAAAGGTATTTGATATTCATATTTGCTGTTCAAAATAAACTATATGTGTTTTCTTTTTGAAATGATTGACATTTTTTTTTAAATCTTGATTAAATTAAGCATATTTTCACCATTTTAATTAGTAAAAATTATTTTATACACCCCTCTCCTCTATTATGTTTTTATTACAAATAAAATATGTTTGAATGTAAAATTGTATATATAAAACAGAAATTAATTATAAATTTGTCATTGGTATCTAGACAAAAAACTCAACTAAAAATCAAAAAAAACTTGATGAAAAATCTGAAGATGAAAAAGAAAATGATAGGTATAAATTAATTTTATAAAAATAGCTCTAATATATAGAAAGTTGTTAAATATTGTTGTGTTCATTTGCTTATTTTAGGCTGACTAATTTAAATGGCATTGAAAAATGTTCTAAAAACAATGTTGTTACTGACAATGAAGATAATTCTGATGATACTGACATCACACCATCTATTAATACAAGTTTGAAAGTATCTTCTAAAATATCCAAAAATGAAGTAAATAAATTGGAAAACATTGATCAATTCCTTTCAGCAATTGATGGGACTGACTCTGGTATTTATAAATTAATCAGTATTTAAAAAGATACTTTTATTGATATGTTGTTTTTTTGTTATAAATTTAGGATTTATCAATTTCAAATAAATGTTTTTTTAACGTATTAATCATATTTAATCATACACAAATTGTTTGATTATATATTTTTACTGCTCTTAAAAGTTAACTAATTTTATAATGTATGAATTATTTCTTTTAATTATCAAATAATAATTAATCATATTTAAAATATATGATAAACTTTCATATCATGTTTAAAATTATTGATTATACATTATAATAGTTGTCCCAAAATTAATACAAAGTGCTCAAGAAATAAGTGGTGTACAAACTATTTTGTTTCATGACCACCAACATTATACTTATTTATAGGTCAACCACCCCCCTTCCATCACATACATTTACATACAATTTATATAATATACTATACAAAAGCTTTTAAGTTGTATTAAAATTCGTCAAAATCACTCAAATTCTTTTTGTAATAATAAATTCATAAAAAAATTTTTATTTAAGTCGATTAACAATTAGTTCATAACCATGATTTAAAAAATGTATCATAGAATTCATCTTAGTGTTCCTACTTTTTTTGAAAAAATTAAGTTTACTACTGGTAAAGTAAATTTTTTAGGAGCATTTACATCTTTTTGACATTGCATATCCACCCATAAATGAACGAATTCTAACCAAACAATTTTCTTATTTTTTAGAGATTCAAAAACTATTAACCATAGATACTTGATATTTTCATCAAATATTTATATTATAATTTTCAATATGTGATTATATGTTTTGATAACAACAAGTGTTGATGAACATTTGAAATTTGAAATTATTTTTTCATAAATCTTAAATTTTCTCATAATCAAAAAATTTAAACACTTTATAGGTTTCAGATTTGCCTTATGATATTATAGTATATAGGTATTATATAGGTACAATTTATTTTTATAGGTATTTAGTTCAAATTTTGATATAATTMATTATAATCTTGTATATTATTTTGTGGTTAAAAATGTATAAAACGGTCAATTTTTATAGCCTAGGATTGAAAATTGATCGTGAGGCATTTCATTAGTAGTACTTTTACCAAAATTTCTTTATAAATAAGAATACACAGTTTTTTTTATTGACATATTAAGTTAAATTAGCCGGAAATTTTATATTTAAATAAAAAATGATTATTTTAGGTATTTTTTTGTTAGTATATTAACTATTGGTACTCAAAACTTTTAAAAGTAGATTATTATAATATTTTGTACTCTATAATGTTTCCAAAGTCAATTTTTTTGGCAATAATGTTTCAACCTACTGCATTAAGCTAGATCAATAGATACATTCATAGAAAATTGCCAAGTTATTCATTAATATCTAAAAATAGATTTTGCTTATATTGCTTATTGTTTTGTTATTTTTCCAAAATGCATATATGTATTGGCAGATCTAAATAACAAATAAATTTTTTTACTTGCAGAGATTTTTTAAAGGTATTGTCTATATCACTAGAGGCTTCTCTCCTCTTAGAATCTTGATTAGAAAAATATAAAAATTTTGATATCTCTTACAGTATTGATTATTTTTAATCAACATTATTATTATTTAGGTGTATGTATTTAAACTTATTTCTTTTTAGATACAGATAATGATTCTCCAAATGAAGAAAATTCTCTAGAATCAGTAAAAGGTATTTTTACTGAAATCAGCAATTCTATAGGAATACCTCAGATTAACACTGAAGACAATGGTGGTGATTATAGTGGTAATTATTCAACAATATATTTTACTATAAAATAAAATAACTATCGTAATAACAAAAAATATTTTGATAATGAAATAATGAAATAAGTTTTAATGTAAATAATATTAATTKAGATATATCAGCACACTTTTTTGTTGAACAAAATAAAATATATACTATTATACACATTAGACCATACAATACATATTAACAAAAAAATATTGTTTGGCCTTTGTGCAGAACTAGAAGCAGGAATGTAAATAGCTGGCTTATTTATTTATTT